GCCCCCTCACCCGGGAGTGGTCACGTGAAATCCCATCGCTCTTTAGCGGAGTGGTTCTCGCCACCTCTGGGTGGCGCGCTTACAGAGCGACCGTTATGGGGGAGGGGAGGACGGAGGAGCGGGGACTGGGAGGCCCTTGGAGCCCGGCTGGTACTTTGTGCACCAGGGGACTGTGGGCTGCCCAGACTGGCTGCTACCAGATGGGGGTGTGGCAGAGCAGGGCAGCCCATGGCGACCTTTAAGGACGGTGCTGCCAGGAAAGGGTGCTGATGGGCCATGAGAGGGTACTTCTAGGGGGACATCTCACAGCCCCAGCACACCGTGTCGCATCCATCACCACACGGCTTCCTCGCGGTGCCATGCTGAGATACTATTGCAACACCTCAGAATGGCACTGCATGGTGTCAGTCGCCATCACCTCATGGTGTGATGTCACAGTGCATGCTCAAATGTCATTGCAACACCTCAAAAAAAAACCCTTGCACCGTGTCAAATATCATCACTAGAGAGGCCTTACGGTGCCACTCTGTCAACTACCAGCACTACATGTGTGACATCACAGCACCATGCTGAAATGTCATTATGACGTGTACAAATGCTGCTGCACTGAAGCCATCACTGCTGCATGTCATTGAAATGTCACCATCACAGAAGATTAGGGTTGGAAGAGACCTCAGGAGGTCATCTAGTCCAACCCCCTACTCAAAGTAGGGCCAACCCCAAGTAAATCATCCCAGGCCAGCCAGGGCTTTGTCAAGACGGGCCTCAAAAACCTCTCAGGATGCAGATTCTACCACCTCCCTAGGGAACCCATTCCAGTGCTTCACCACCCACCTAGTGAAATAGTTTCCCCTAATATCCAACCTAGACCTCCCTCACTACAACTTGAGACCATTGCTCCTTGTTTTGTCATCTGCCACCACTGAGAACAGCCGAGTTCCATCCTCTTTGGAACCCGCCTTCAGGTAGTTGAAGGCTGCTATCAAATCTCCCCTCACTCTTCTCTTCTGCGGATTAAACAAGCCCAGTTACCTCAGCCTATCTTCATAAATCATGTGCCCCAGCCCCGTAAGCATTTTCGCTGCCTTCCGCTGGACTCTCTCCAATTTCTCCACATCCTTTCTGTAATGGAGGGCCCAAAACTGGACACAATACTCCAGATGTGGCCTCACCAGTGCTGAATAGAGAGGAATTATCACTTCCCTCGATCTGTGGGCAATGCTCCTACTAATAAAAAGAACAGGAGTACCTGTGGCACCTTAGAGATTAACAAATTTATTTGAGCATAATAAATATTTGAGCTCCTACTAATGCAGCCCAATATGCCGTTAGCCTTCTTGGCAACAAGGGCACACTGTTGACTCATATCCAGCTTCTCGTCCACTGTAATCCCCAGGTCCTTTTCTGCAGAACTGCTGCTTAGCCGTTGGCCCCCAGCCTGTAGCAGTGAATGGGATTCTTCTCTCCTAAGTGCAGGAGTCTGCACTTGTCCTTGTTGAACCTCATCAGATTTTTTTTGGCCCAATCCTCCAATTTGTCTAGGTCACTCTGAACCCTATCCCTACCCTCCAGCATATCTACCTCTCCCCCCTGCTTAGTGTCATCCACGAACTTACTGAGGGTGCAATCCATCCCATCATCCAGATCATTAATTAGGATGTTGAACAAAAACGGTCCCAGGACCTCCCCCTGGCTGGGGCACTCCACTTGCTACCAGCTGGCAACTAGATATCAAGCCGTTGATCACTACCCATTGAGCTCGACGATCTAGCCAGCTTTCTATTCACCTTATAGTCCATTCAACCAATCCATACTTCTGTAACTTGCTGGCAACAATACTATGGGAGACTGTATCAAAAGCCCATATCCACAGAGCCAATTATCTCATCATAGAAGGCAATCAGGTTGGTCAGGCATGACTTTCCCTTGGTGAATCCAGGTTGACTGTTCTTGATCACCTTCCTCTCTTCCAGGTGCTTCAAAATGGATTCCTTGAGGACCTGCTCCATGATTTTTCATGATACTGCAGAGCTTCACTGTTTGTCAAATGTCATCACTACATTCTGTGACATCATGGCATGGAGCTGAAATGTCATTGTAATATCTCAGAACACTATCGTTCTGTAACAAACATCTCAATATGTAGTGATATCATGTAAATGTAACATCATAACACCGCTGTACTGTGTTCAGAATCACAAGTTGAGGAGGTTTTGCTGAATTGTCACCAAGTTTCTTCAAATGTCCTCACACCATTATTTAATTGCATTGAAATGTATTCATGTTGCATCGTATAGCAACATAATATCATTCAACATGTTTGAGTTGTGCCAAATGCAGGGCCGGCTCCAGGCACCAGCACAGCAAGCAGGTGCCTGGGCCGGCCAACGGAAAGGGGCAGCACGTCTGGCTCTTCGGCGGCAATTCGGCAGCAGGTCCCCCAGTCCCTCTCAGAGGGAAGGACCTGCGGCCGAATTGCTGCCGAAGAAGCGGCACCGCCGCCGAAGTGCCGGCGATCGCGTTTTTGTTGTTGTTGTTTTTTTGCCGCTTGGGGCGGCAAAAACGCTGGAGCCAGCCCTGGCCAAATGTCACCACATTGCATCATCACAAGACGTGGTGAGGCTGATGTGGCTGTGAAAAAGGCATATGCAATCCTATAATGCACATTAGGCCAGGTATTTTCAGTAGAGATAGGTAAGTGTTATTAACATTGTACACTAGTGAGACCTAATCTGGAATACTGTGTGCAATTCTGGAATCCCATATTTAAGAAAGATGAATTCAGACCAGAACAGGTGCAGAGAAGGGCTACCAGGATAATCAGAAGAATGGAGAACCTGCCTTATGAGAGCATATTAAAAGAGCTTGGTCTTGTTTAGCCTAACACTAGGAAGGCTGAGGGGCTATATGATTGCTCTCTATAAATACATCAGCTGGAGAAACACAAGGAAAAGAAAGGAGTTATTTAAGTTAAGTGCCAATGCTGGCACAATAACAAATGGATATAAGCTGACTATCAACGAGTTTAGGCTTGAAATTAGACAAAGGTTTCTAACCATCAGAGGAGTGGAATAGCCTTCCAAGGGGAATAGTGTGGGCAAAACCCTCATTTGTTTCAAGATTTAGCTTGATAAGTTTATGGAAGGAATGGTCTGATGAAGTTGCCTACAATGGCATATGGCTCAGCTGCATCTGCTATTAGCAAATATCTCTAATGGCCGGAGATGGGACACTAAATGGGGAGGGCTCTGAGTTACTACAGAGAATTCTTTCCCAGATACTGGCTGGTGGGTCTCGCCCACATGTTCAAGATCTAAGTTAACTGATTGCCATATTTGGGGTCATGAAGGAATTTTTCCCTGGGTAAGATTGTCAGAGAGACTTTTTTTTTTTTTTGCCTTCCTCTGCAGCATGGGGCAAGGGTCACTTGCTGGTTTGAACTAGAGTAAGTGGTGGATTCTCTGTAACTGTAAGTCTTTAAATCAAGATTTGAGGACTTCAGTAACTCAGCTAGAGGTTAATTGCCTATTTCAGGAGGTGAGGTTCTGTGGTCTGTGATGTGCATGTCAGGCTAGTTGATCATGTGGTCCCTTTTGGTCTTAAAGACTAGGAGTCTGTAATTGCATTGTGACAAACTAGCATCACATTTAAAAAAATGCCATATCCTAATGCAACACGAAGGCATTGCACAGATGTGTCATCATATGGCGTCAGAACTTCACAACACAAAATGAAGACATTCCCTCAAAACAGCATCACACTTTCTTTAAAAAATTAACACAGTGCAGTCAAATGGTGGCATTGCTTCAAATAATTGTCATGCCTTTACACAACATAATGCTTTTTGCACTAAAATAGCTGGCCTGCTATTTTGGGGTAGAGCAGCTCTCATGTTCACCTTAGCACAAACATTGACTTGTACTGTAACAATCTATTTCTCTTTGTATCCTGTGTTTTGATATTGCCCCACACACAAAGAGATCATTTCACCCAGTCATGTCTTTTGATATCAGTGAATGCAGCTAGAGCTTTTCAATTATTCCAGCTTCTTGCTTTTCACCCTTACCACCCTATTGCTCTGAAGATTTGTAGCCAGGGAGTGTTAAGAGTTTTGTTCCATCTCTGCAAATAGAATTGGGGCCAGGCCAAATAGGTGCTTGAAAGGCAGAAAGACTCCTACTTGCCAGGACCTATGAAAGAGTGCTTAAGGTGCCCATGATTTGCTTTGGCCAAAAATGCTTGGGAGCAGAGGAAGGTTGAACATCAGTATCCACTGCCAAAACTGTCATTTTGAAGCCTTCTGCCTCCCTGTGAGCCTTTTACTCCTATATTATTTGTAGCCTGACCTTTCTTTACTCCTTTCATTCATTCCTTCATTTCCTCATGTCTTTAACCTAAAGATTCCAAAGGAAAATGAACGTTTAGGCTGACCATTGTATCTTTGCCTTCTGTGACTGTATTGACATCGGTTTTGCAAGCAGACATGTCTACGTAGATAAAGAGTTTTCTTCCCCTCAGAATCAAACCAGTGACCTGAGTGTCTCGCTCTCTAAAAAAACACACGACCAACCCTCTGCTCTACCAGCCCAGCTCCAGAAAGGCGGGCTGGACCCTGCCAAGGCTAGCTGCTACACGTGCCAGTGAACACGCTCCCCGAGTGGTGGAAGCCGCTTTGGGCTAAATGGAGCAACCAAACAGGGGGGCTAGTTCTGGTCTGGTCAGGGGATGGGTCCTTCCTCCCGAGACACAGCAAGCGCCAAGAAAAGGAGCTCGTGGGCCATTGCGCAGGCAGCCCAGGTGACTCCCCGCTCCAGGCCCGGGGCTCCCACTCCAGCCTCCCCCCCCATCCCGGCCTCCGCTCCCCCACTCCCGCCTGCTGGGAGAGCCCGCCCCCGGGGGTACCATTGACGGACTGAGCGTTGTTCCAATAGGGCGCCGGCCACGTGCGCAAAGTAACCAATGGGGGTCGGTGGGCGGAGCGGGGGGCGTGTGCAGGCGGCGCAGCGAGCGGCTTGTTGTGCGCGCTGCGGAGCTGTTACCCTCCCGCTGCCCAGGCCCTGCCGGAGCCGCCGCCAGGTGAGGCCAGGCTGGCCGAGGTGTGCGGGTAGGCTGGGGCCAGGCCGGACTTGCCTCCTGGCGGTGGGAAGGGGGGCTACGCTGGGCGCGAGAGCGAGGCTGTGGCCTGGGCCTGCGGGGGAGACCTGGGGCCTGTGTGTGGGGGGAGGGGCAGACCTAGGCCTCTTGGAGGGGGAGACCCTGGGCCTGTGTGTGGGGGGAGGGGCGGATCCGGGCCTGTTGGAGGGGGAGACCCTGGGCCTGCGGGAGCACATCAGACCAGAGCTGGGGCCTGTGGAGGGGAGAAGTGGAGCTGGTTGCAGTGGTATTGTGTGTGTAGGATGCAGGCCAGGGGGAGCGGGTGTGGGCTTGTCTACATCCATTTTAATTTCCCACTATTGGTAAGACTAGAGCAACTCCACTGACTGGTGGTCGCAGTGGGTGGGAGTACTAGTGTGGACAGGGATCCCATGTGCATTCACATTAGCACTGTAAGTTAGACCTGCTCTGAATAAGGTTACCCCACATCGTGTTAAATGCCAGAGACTGTGCAAAACCTTGGCTATATTAGCGCTCCACTCGTGTTACCGTCAGTGAGGTTGCTCTGGTGAGAGATTTTTCGAGTAAAGCCGAGTGTATTGACCACCTGTATGTGTAGTGAGCTGGGTGATGGGAAGAATGTGTGTGTGTGGAGAGAGTGTGTATGTGGATCTGGCCCATGGGGAGAGTGTGTGTTGTATCTGCTTCTGATGCAGGGTGATTGATGATGAAGTGTATGTGTGGAGCAGAGCGTGTGTGTGTGATGTTTGGGGGGAGTGTATGTGTGGGAGGGTGTGTTTTGTGCCCTGGTAGAAGCAGATGGGGGAATATTTTGGGTCATGGGGTCTTGGATATGTTGATATTGTGGAGGGGATAAGGAGGAAGGGGCTGGGTCACATAGAGTGTTCTCTTATTAATTTTTGCTGCCTTTGACATGATTGATGACTTAGCCCTCTTGATTGTTGTGATTTTTTTTCTTTTTCTTCCTTATCTTGTACTTGGATGATGTATTGAATAGATGGGGTGTCATACAATTAGTTAGAGTTGCTGACAACTCAGTTTCCTTTGAACAGTTTTTCATACTCACCTCTTTCTGTCTGCCATTGTCCTTCAGTTCTCCGTTTTCGCTTCTTCTGCATACTTTCCTCTTTCTGACTTCATCACCACTTATAAATTCATTATCACCCCTGTATCCCTATATACTCATGACACTTCCATACCCCCTATCCATTCTAGCATACTTAGCTGATGCTGACATCTTGGGTGTCCAGCCACTATCTCAACTTCTGTGTTGGCAGTGCTGGCCCATGCATCCTGCATTCAAGTAATGAGGATGTGTACTGACAATCTACTCAAAACTAGTTACTGGTAAGTAGACCTTCTCATCTTTTCTCCTAATTTCTCTTTTCTGTCTTCATTAATAACTCTACTCTTTCTCATGCGTGCGACAAAGTGGGTATTCACCCACGAAAGCTTATGCTTCAGTACATCTGTTAGTCTTAAAGGTGCCACAGGACTCTCTGTTGCTTTTTACAGATCCAGACTAACACGGCTACCCCTCTGATACTCTACTTTTTCTTGTGTCTCAGCCTGTAATCTTGCTATGACCTTTTATTCTACTCTGCCCCATGTTGTCTTTTTGCTAACACCTGTTGCTTCTTTCTTCAAAATTTGTCCTGTATTGACTGCTAAAACGCTTGTCCATATCCTGGTCACTTCTTCCCTTTATTACTGTAATTTCTTGTCTGGCCTTTCCTTCTCTTGTTTCTTATCCTTCCAGTCTGTTTGAAATGCTGCTGCCAAAGTCATCTTTCTTTCCTGTGACTTAATGTTACTGTGATCCTTCCTTGGCTTCCTGTCTCTGAATTCATAAAAGGAGCATAATCCTCATAGAAGGCCCTACATTGCCTTTAACCCCCACCATCTCTGTCTCTTTTCTTCATTCACTCTCTGCTTCATCCTTTTGCCTTCTTCAAACCTTTGTCTCCTTTCCCCATTCCTATTTTTGTGCCTTCTATCACTTTTACCTTCTATAGCTGCAACATCCTGTCTACATCTGCCAGAAGCTCAGCCTCTTTCCTTTAAAACTCACCTCTCTAAGCAGTCCCAGGAACCTTCACCCTCTGTTTCCTGAAGTGATTCTCTCCCCCTCCCCCCCCCCTTTTCTTTGTTACCTATGTTGATTGTAAGAATTTCAGGGCAGAGATGTATTATGGAAAAGTGTTAGTGGTATCATGGTTAAGGTTGTATCAGACATCTGATTTTCATGGGCCCTTACTATCTGAAGCCCTGAACATTTATGGAAGTAGCTATTCTGGAATAATTACTCCGGAATAGTTATATTGGTACAAGCCCTTTGTGAGCAGTCTTACTTTGGAATAAGTGTCCACACAGGGGGTTATACTGAAACCGCCATTCCAGAATAGCTATTTTGGTAAACTTCCCAGTGTAAACAAGCCCTAAAAATACAGAACACTCTGAGGCTCTCTTTAATTTTTGAGGGTCTTAGGAACATTAGTATTTGCTGCTGGATACAATATAAATTTTAAAATCCTCTTTTTCAGAAATACATCAGGGTGTCTCCAGTTTTTTTGATCTTTGCAGCTACATGACCTTGGCACCTAGAAACCCCAGACTGCTGACCTCATACGTTCACATCCCTATGGGTTCTTGTGTCATCGAATGTTGGTGATATATAACTATTTTTAAACTTACTGTTTATAACTTACCAACTATGCTAAAAAAACAAGGAGTTCTTGTGGCACCTTAGAGACTAACAAATTTATTTGGGCATAAGCTTTCGTGGGCTAGAACCCACTTCATCAGATGTATGAAGTGAAAAATACAGGAGCAGGTATAAATACATGAAAGGATGGGGGTTGCTTTACCAAGTGTGAGATCAGTCTAATGAGATAAATCAATTAACAGCAGGCCTAATCTGATGGTATCCAGTTTGCAAATTAATTCCAGTTCTGCAGCTTCACGTTGGAGTCTGTTTTTGAATTTTTTTGGTTGAAGAATTGCCACTTTGAGATCTGTTATTGAGTGACCAGAGAGATTGAAGTGTTCTCCTACTGGTTTTTGAATGTTATGATTCCTGATGTCAGATTTGTGTCCATTTATTCTTTTGCATAGAGACTCTCCGGTTTGGCCAATGTACATGGCAGAGGGGCTTTGCTGGCACATGATGGCATATATCACATTGGTAGATGTGCAAGTGAACGAGCCCCGAATAGCGTTAGGTCCTATGATGGTGTCCCTTGAATAGATATGTGGACAGAGTTGGCACTGGGGTTTGTAGCAGGGTTTGGTTCCAAAACACCAATCAATAAATAAAGATTGGGAGTGGTTGGGTCATTACAAAACCTAAACTTAATTTCCCCAATACTAATTTCTCCCTACTGTTACTCACACCTTCTTGTCAACTGTCTCTTACCACTTCAAAAGTTATTTTTCCTCCCTTGGTATCCTGCTGTTAATTGATTTATCTCGTTAGACTGAACTCACACTTGGTAAAGCAACCCGCATCCTTTCATGTATTTATACTTGCTCCTGTATTTTTCACTTCGTGCATCTGATGAAGTGGGTTCTAGCCCACAAAAGCTTATGCCCAAATAAATTTGTTAGTCTCTAAGGTGCCACAAGGATTCCTCATTGTTTTTGCTGATACAGACTAACACGGCTACCACTCTGAAACCTGTAACTATGCTGACCCCTTCTGGTTTCTAACAGAAGAGAGGAAAAGTTAAAACTCCTCCCGCTCCTTGTAGGAGACAGTCAGGAGCCCTACTCCCCAGGCAGTCCCCGTAGTTGATCATCCTCAGGGTGTTTGATAAACTGGCATTGCCAGTACATCATCCCTCACTTCCATCAATACTCCCTGTTTCCCTTTACTTACTCTCATCTTCACCTGCATAATTAAGTTTGATGAACCATCTATGATTTGTCAGTCTGACAGTAGTGGTTACTGTACTGATCCAAAGATAAATTGCTGTCTGAGGCTGAACTCAGAGGAATGCAGCTGGGAAAGACATTGCTCACTACCCCTCATATCCCAGCTCCCTTTTCTTTTCTTCCTTGCTGTGAGCACCACATGGGTAGAGGGAGTGGATTTTCAGTTTTCTTTAACTGAAATTTGTGCTGAGGAGGGAGCATGTCCAGGGAGCAATTTTGGAATCTGACAGGCAGAGATAGTCTCTTGATCTATCTTACACTAACACGTGGTAGAGCTGGAGACAAGAAAGGTGCTGATTAGGAGTGCGGGGGGAAGTAGTAGTGGAGGATATAGGAGGGATGGGGATATGCCTTTCTCCCCAATGAACCCTTTGTTTTAATGCCCCCATTCTGAGAGTGGGAGTCTTGCCTGGCAACAGTTGTCTACAGCTCCTGTAGGAGACATCGCTGCTTGAAGGTTTCCCTTATGTCAAGCATCACCATCTATGACATAGTGGCAGAGCTGTGCTATAGAAGGCACTGAAGGGGAGATGTGAACCCAGCTCTACAACCTGCTTCTTTCTGCTTACTATGCTACTCTTTGGGGGGAGCCTTGGAGATGGCAGCAGTGCTAATTAGTGCCAATTGCTCTAGAATTCTAAGTTGGCCTCCTAATCCTAGAAATTGCTTGAACTGGAATTATTAGGTGGGGGGCAGAAGAGGAATGTCCTGACCCTCCACATCATATTCCTTCAGCATTGGGAAGGTCAGGATGGTGACTGGCCTCTTCCATCCTGCTGTCTTGTCTTCTGGACCCTATCATCAGCCTTCCCACCATGAAGTCTGGTTTTATGAACTGGGTGTAATTTGTCAAATTAAATGTATACCCTAAATTAAAAAAACACAGAGGAGCAAAAAACTGTTGTTATGGCTAAACAACAAAGTAAAAGAAGCGGTTAAAGGCAAAAAGGCATCCTTTAAAAATTGGAAGTCAAATCCTACTGAGGAAAATAGAAAGGAGCATAAATTCTAGCAAGTTAAGTGTAAAA